CTTTTCTTCCAACACGGCTGCAAATGACGGAAAAACAGCGACCGAGTTTACGATGAACGGAAATCCTCATTGTACCTGTTTCTCTATTACTATATTGTACCACGCTGTTCCACTCGTCTTACAGGGTATTCGCAATGCAGGGAAACCTGACATTCGATACACTGTGGATCAACTCATTTATGGAATAACATGTCGACTTCCAGGAGAATTCCAGCATCCTTCATTATCAGTGAATATAGATCCAACTTCTTACACGAGCAGGCTTACGAGCGAAGTGCGTTCAATGAAACCTGCTTCCACTCGACCGCAATCAATTGATGTTTTCGTTCAACTTCACTTACGATATGGTACACACGTTTTCGCACGTCCAGACTCACATCGACGACCTCTCGAAACAGCACATAAAGGACCATTGAAAGTTCTTCAGCGCAAACCTAAGAACTATATGGTCGATAAGAACGGAACTAACCATAGAATCAGCATCGACAGCATCAAAGCAGCGTATCTAGAAAGAAACTCTATCCATGTAGATTTCGCCAAAGTACAACCGAAAGACACGACTTCTACATTTATAATACATCGTCCGACAGACAACACGCACGATGACAGTTTGGCAGTATCTGAAAGTAGACTCCAAACAACGCGTTCTGGAAGAAGAGTGAGGTCTCTAGATCATTTCAACGATTATTGCACGTAAGACACTAGTTAGAATTTTGTTTCACCATCGACTTTTCTTCCAACACGGCTGCAAATGACGGAAAAACAGCGACCGAGTTTACGATGAACGGAAATCCTCATTGTACCTGTTTCTCCATTACTATATTGTACCACGCTGTTCCACTCGTCTTACAGGGTATTCGCAATGCAGGGAAACCTGACATTCGATACACTGTGGATCAACTCATTTATGGAATAACATGTCGACTTCCAGGAGAATTCCAGCATCCTTCATTATCAGTGAATATAGATCCAACTTCTTACACGAGCAGGCTTACGAGCGAAGTGCGTTCAATGAAACCTGCTTCCACTCGACCGCAATCAATTGATGTTTTCGTTCAACTTCACTTACGATATGGTACACACGTTTTCGCACGTCCAGACTCACATCGACGACCTCTCGAAACAGCACATAAAGGACCATTGAAAGTTCTTCAGCGCAAACCTAAGAACTATATGGTCGATAAGAACGGAACTAACCATAGAATCAGCATCGACAGCATCAAAGCAGCGTATCTAGAAAGAAACTCTATCCATGTAGATTTCGCCAAAGTACAACCGAAAGACACGACTTCTACATTTATAATACATCGTCCGACAGACAACACGCACGATGACAGTTTGGCAGTATCTGAAAGTAGACTCCAAACAACGCGTTCTGGAAGAAGAGTGAGGTCTCTAGATCATTTCAACGATTATTGCACGTAAGACACTAGTTAGAATTTTGTTTCACCATCGACTTTTCTTCCAACACGGCTGCAAATGACGGAAAAACAGCGACCGAGTTTACGATGAACGGAAATCCTCATTGTACCTGTTTCTCCATTACTATATTGTACCACGCTGTTCCACTCGTCTTACAGGGTATTCGCAATGCAGGGAAACCTGACATTCGATACACTGTGGATCAACTCATTTATGGAATAACATGTCGACTTCCAGGAGAATTCCAGCATCCTTCATTATCAGTGAATATAGATCCAACTTCTTACACGAGCAGGCTTACGAGCGAAGTGCGTTCAATGAAACCTGCTTCCACTCGACCGCAATCAATTGATGTTTTCGTTCAACTTCACTTACGATATGGTACACACGTTTTCGCACGTCCAGACTCACATCGACGACCTCTCGAAACAGCACATAAAGGACCATTGAAAGTTCTTCAGCGCAAACCTAAGAACTATATGGTCGATAAGAACGGAACTAACCATAGAATCAGCATCGACAGCATCAAAGCAGCGTATCTAGAAAGAAACTCTATCCATGTAGATTTCGCCAAAGTACAACCGAAAGACACGACTTCTACATTTATAATACATCGTCCGACAGACAACACGCACGATGACAGTTTGGCAGTATCTGAAAGTAGACTCCAAACAACGCGTTCTGGAAGAAGAGTGAGGTCTCTAGATCATTTCAACGATTATTGCACGTAAGACACTAGTTAGAATTTTGTTTCACCATCGACTTTTCTTCCAACACGGCTGCAAATGACGGAAAAACAGCGACCGAGTTTACGATGAACGGAAATCCTCATTGTACCTGTTTCTCTATTACTATATTGTACCACGCTGTTCCACTCGTCTTACAGGGTATTCGCAATGCAGGGAAACCTGACATTCGATACACTGTGGATCAACTCATTTATGGAATAACATGTCGACTTCCAGGAGAATTCCAGCATCCTTCATTATCAGTGAATATAGATCCAACTTCTTACACGAGCAGGCTTACGAGCGAAGTGCGTTCAATGAAACCTGCTTCCACTCGACCGCAATCAATTGATGTTTTCGTTCAACTTCACTTACGATATGGTACACACGTTTTCGCACGTCCAGACTCACATCGACGACCTCTCGAAACAGCACATAAAGGACCATTGAAAGTTCTTCAGCGCAAACCTAAGAACTATATGGTCGATAAGAACGGAACTAACCATAGAATCAGCATCGACAGCATCAAAGCAGCGTATCTAGAAAGAAACTCTATCCATGTAGATTTCGCCAAAGTACAACCGAAAGACACGACTTCTACATTTATAATACATCGTCCGACAGACAACACGCACGATGACAGTTTGGCAGTATCTGAAAGTAGACTCCAAACAACGCGTTCTGGAAGAAGAGTGAGGTCTCTAGATCATTTCAACGATTATTGCACGTAAGACACTAGTTAGAATTTTGTTTCACCATCGACTTTTCTTCCAACACGGCTGCAAATGACGGAAAAACAGCGACCGAGTTTACGATGAACGGAAATCCTCATTGTACCTGTTTCTCTATTACTATATTTTATAACATGTTCTCTTAAATTGATGAATGATAATCAGTTACTGCTGAATATACTATGCTATCAGAAGAGTGTTTACTAACGACAAACTCATTGTGTTTACTATTCTGCTGGCCACATTCTTGATTCGTCACTACATCACTGTTTGAGAGTGATCTGTAACAGTAAATTTATCCCCAGCATAAATAACTCTGTAGGTTTTCAAAATTGTTTGCTGACGACATTAGTTTCAATGGACTCACCTAGCTGGAGGCGCTCGGTCATTCATCCACACCAGATCACGAGTGAGAACGCCGTGCTCAACATCTCCTGAAATAACTAGCCAGTTTATGTCAGTCGATCCTTGATATACTGATAGCCTATCATATATGCCTTTAAACCTCACCCCCTCACTTGATGAGTAGGATTCACAATAGAAAGTGTTACTGATTTAATTGTTGTCTAACTCCGGATACCTGTGTCATTTTCACGTACATATCTGCAGCAGAACATATATTTACACCTTCCCATTTCCACTGTTTCGTTAGTTATCATGCTATTAATAATTAATAGCCGAAAATAACTACAAGATAATTATAGTATCAGGGTTGTCAGATCTATGGTGGATCCTAGTGTAAAAACCCACTCATGGTGTAACAATGTACAAAATTACCAACAATATACTGAAAAGAATACTAAAACTATAAACTGAAGCGATTGTTTATGAGTAAAGCGATACAGTAACAAATAGCATTTACAACAGAATTGTATAACAAAAAAGTGATAGCAACCACAGACGAGTTCACTTGATTAACCAAGGTTCCTCTGCACATGGTGGCACCGATATCCTGACGCGAAAGATAAATCCGACAACTCTGTTGAATAATAATTGGTATCGAAACTCCATCACAGCACATAATCGGCGTTGTAACACTTAAAATATTCAACCGCCGGCATTGTCTTACAAAACAAAAGAATAGATGACTGAGATGACATTTATTTGAATAGCTACGTTAATTTGAATATTATTCAGTAAATCTGTTATGTCCGCTTTTGTTGATGCAGATACACAATAGATATTAAGTATGAATGTGGTCAAACATAAATTGTTTCAAATAAAAGAAGCAATGTCATCCTCATTTTGTCCTTAAGACACTGACTGAATATGTATGTCTTTAAAGATGATGATGTGGACTTACTTACTTACTTACTTACGCCTGTTACTCCCAATGGAGCATAGGCCGCCGACCAGCATTCTCCAACCCAATCTGTCCTGGGCCTTCTTTTCAAGTTCCATCCAATTCTTGTTCATTTTTCTCATATCTATCTCCATTTCCCGGCGTAATGTATTCTTTGGTCTTCCTCTCTTCCTTCGACCTTGAAGGTTCCATATGAGGGCTTGTCTTGTGACGCAGTTCGGTGCTTTCCTCAATGTGTGTCCTATCCACTTCCAACGCTTCTTCCTGATTTCTTCCTCCACTGGGATCTGATTTGTTCTCTCCCACAGTAGGTTGTTGCTAATAGTGTCCGGCCAACGGATCCGAAGTATTTTGCGTAGACAACTGTTAATAAACACCTGTATCTTTTGGACGATGGATTTCGTAGTTCTCCAGGTTTCCGCCCCATACAGTAGAACTGTCTTCACATTTGTATTGAAAATTCTGACTTTGGTGTTGGTTGCCAATTGTTTTGAGTCCCAGATATTCTTCAGTTGTAGATATGCTGCTCTATGATGATGTGGAAAGCTACTAAAATTACGTGATTTTCAGGGATCCTTTATAGTTAGTGCTTAATATAAAGCGTTTTCGTGAGTAAACCTGTTTCAAAAGTACCTTCGAACTATTCTTAGCTAGAGGTGTACTCAACAGGTTTATACTTATGTCACAAAGATGTTAATAATACGGAACACTGGGAGATGATGTTAATGATTTCTTTGAAGTATATTATCTATCCATCAAACCTAGAAAATGACGAAAGTAATTGAATGAAACTGTGTTTAATCACTCGGGTGGACAGGTCAATGTGGTACTTTCACAGTCATGGAAGTATTCCGTTTTAGACTGTTGAAATTTTAATATTTATCAAACCTTCTGATTCAGTGTGACTTTCGAATTTCAATTGCTTATAACTGCATAGAATATTTTGTACATTATGTAGCTTGTGTTTAGTCTCTTCAACTATATATTGACTCGCATACACACCCGTTAGAATTTCGCGCACGTTTATGCTCGTTATTAATTAGCTGACGATACTGCTTTAATTAGTGTTTCTGTCAGTCTTTATTTTATCTATCAATGTCAGGAAACCAAATAGAAAATGAAATGGAGACTGAGTTAAAATGTCGCTTGTTCTGTACTTCAATATCAATGGCTTCGAAAAAGTTAGAGGAAATAGAGTCAGGAAACACTTTATCAGTGAACAATTCAGTTCCTCTTAATTCACCATGCAAGTTCTTGAACAATATTTTGTGTACTTTACACGATATTCCATGAGTGTTATGATAATAAGTTTTTATGAATATAAAAATTATCGCAATAACACGCACGTTAGCAAACAGTATACTGTTTGATTGCAAAGGTTGGTGAATAGTTGTATGCTAAGAGTGGTTATGTATCTTTAATTTTCATCTGTGCGACCATAAATAGTCTGATAATATGGTTTTCCTAAATACTAGCATGAAGTTGGTTATCGTTAGGTTTTAGCTGTTTGGAAATAAAAAAGTGTAAAGCCAGTCAGTCATCATCAACGTAAAATTTGGTAGAAATTTGCATTACCCCGAAATACCGTGACGCTTCCGCACGCTGAGATGAAACTAACAAGATGGGAAGCAGGAGAGACTGGAAAATATAGTAGCAGTAACATTGAATCAAAGTCCTGAGAATGTAGATCCGACGTGACGACAGGTTGAATTATTTCGCTATGTGTCATTATAGCAACGATTGACTTTTAGGAGTCTGTATAGTAGGTCGGTGGACCTGTGTTTATTCTTAAAGCTTATTTTCCAGTGAAGATCTAGATTCCCGTTGAAAATATTCACTGATGAGACTGATACCATTTGTTTGGGTAAGGCGTTCATACCAGTGACCACTCTATGAGAAAAACAGAACCTTACTGTGAGTTTAAAAGATAGTGGTTGTTAAACATTTTTGTTGTGGCTTCAGAAACCACTAGCTTTGGAGGAAACAAAAGGTTAAGATTGTACAATAAGCTACCTCACACGTACCACTATCATACGCCTCTGATGTGATCGATTGTACAGGAAAATGATCTCTGACACATAGTATTATGCCTTGTTCCTTGTGATTTATAGCTATTTCACTTCTAATACTGATGTGCCCTGAAGAATGGTCTACATCTGCGTTGAGCCACGTTTCTCTGACAACAATTATATCGAAACGTAATCCGTTCATCATCAAGCTTAGCTCGGACGTTTTACCTCTAAGACTACGAGAGTTTGTGCAGCACATTCCAGGTGTTTTGAGAACCACTAGTTCTACCCATATGGGTTTCGACTATTCAAAAACTCTGGATACTTAGGTTTGCTGCGTCATTTTGCTTTTAAATTTTTAACTCAGTAACGGTATTCTTCCACTTGATTCGACCTTTAAGTGACCAATCTGGTTGATACGAATATTTGAATCCGGATTTTGTATGCAATATTTAGTATAACATCTTCCTCGTAACTTCTGAGTGCTAACTTCAAGATCCTTCTTTATCGGGATTCACCTCCAATCCACTTACCGAGTTTTATCACCTTAGTAATATGTACTTTTAAATTCACTTCCGATAGTGTATTTCTGATGGCAGATTCCACTAGCTCCAAATAGTGTGCATGCCTTTGAACAGGGTCATTTTCTTTCAGAGCTTCTCCGTCAAGTGTGATTTGATTGGTGCATGTTGTTCTGTGTCTGAGAATCTTGCTTTTCCCTTTGTGTATGTTGAGACCTACTACTGCTGAGGCTCCTGCTACACTGACCATCTTCTCGTGCAGTTGTTGTTGCGTGTGCGATAGAAGTGCCAGTTCATCTGCAAAGTCTAGATCGTCCAGCTGCATCCTGGGTGTCCACTGCATCCCGTGCTTCCCCCCAGATGTTGGCGTCTTCATGATCTAGTCGATCACCATAGTAGAGCGCTAGACTGTTAATTTTCTGTAGACGAAACAACAAACAATTGATTTTCTTTCGGTATCAAGCGTGAAATTGGTCTTTTTATATTTGAACAGGAAATACATGGTATTTTTGCTTGTTTGAGTTTGGTGACGATTTTACTTTGAGTTGTTTCACAACTCGTCAACCTATTCCACAATTTGTGCAACTACGGTTGTACACTTTATTTGCTTTTACTAACTTCAGAGCCATTGAAATGTTAGGAATCTTGAGTAGTTTCATAGACCCTGAAGTTCAAATGGTGATGCACTTTGAATCGCTTCCTCAAGAATACTTTTATTGCTTGAACTCAGTACGTTAAAGTATAGTGAAAGATCAATTGTAGATAAATACAGTTCTAATGTCACTGGCTTGTATTATCAGCTCTAAGATTAGTATGATAGCTAAAAGTAGATTAGCCATAGTTTTGTACTTCAAGGTTCGTTAGACACGGGGATTCCTTAAATTTGCTGCTAAACACAGCACTGTCAAATATATACTCTTACCGTAATCAACTATTGTTCCCGTAACCTGAAGTTTGTTACCCATTTTCTCACTAAATATATGGGTCTTGATCAATTCATTTTAAAACATATTGAAGCCTTTGTGTTTAGCTAGTTAGCTTCCACTAAGATTTTATTAAACTATATGGTGTATCTCTCCAAAACAAATCGCTATCCCTTTTCTAACCATTCTATGTAACTCATTCTTCATAATCTATTCCAAACAAAATAGAATCAGTTTACATATTAAGAAGATAAACTCTCTCTGAAAAGATTTCTCTCCGAAATACTTAATCCTATGTTACTATAATCAATAATACGTGAATGGAACTTGACTGTGATATTAGTTAGCTTCTATATGGAGTGTGAGACAATTCTGCTGACGTCAGTAAGTGACTTGTAATCGATTATTTCATCAGAAAAAATCTCAGGTTTATGTTATGTGATAGGTCGGTTAACATTCTATAATAACACATCACTTTTTATCGTAAAACCGTTGCTAAGACCGTTAGTGATATTTTCGTACGCAGAATGGGAAACATTGGCAAGAAGAAGTTGAAGTTAAAATGTGCAGAAGGAAATTGTAATTTTTTATTATAACACATTAATACAACGCTAGCCATTTATTTACACACCAACTGTGTTAACTATTCATCTAAGTACGAACAAATATTTTTAGGCGTTTAGAATATATGTCTGAAATCTAGTGCTTTTATTATTTCAGGTGGTGATATAGATACTGATTTTTAAAGGTACTTATGTTAGCAACTATCTTACAGGCTACAGGTCCTTCTTTCAAATGAATGTAGTGTCGGTAAATAAAAATTTTTAATTCACTAAGTTTTAGAAAATGGTAATTACTATGGTTTTATATAAAATAATATATTTGTAATATCCCAATAGGAAGAAAAAATTAGATCTTTTGACGTTTCGTGACTCAGTGTAGTCCACTTCTTCAGAGAGTAAATAGCCAGCCCAAAATTAATCGAAGTTAAAATAGTTGTTCCTTGTAGTATTTAAACTTGGATTAATTTTGATTTGATTACTTACTGAGACACGTAACTTCAGGAAATCTACTCATTTGGATATCACAAGTATTTGAATAGTTGAGACCGTGATTTAACCGAAGCTATACCACCATGGAGAACCTGGAAGCACTGAACGGCCGTTTCGTCCTATTATGGGACTCCTCAGCAGTGCGCGTTCACAATCTCACCTCGCGAGATTCGAACGCTGGACCAATTGGTCTCGTGCGCGAACGCTTAACCTCTAGATCACTGAGCCGGCATCCAACGGTGTTAATTTCTAACTTCAACTAATCCGCGAAATCGGGCGATACATCCACCGCAGAGTAGTCCCATAATAGGCGGAAACGGCCGTCCAGTGCTTCCAGGTTTTCCATATTGTTCTAGCTTCAATTAGCCCCCAAATGCCCTGGTATGGCCGAGAGCGGGGAGGGTTCGCCCTCCCTCTCGAAATACTCTCACACGGCCACGCGTATACAGCCTCTGCCAGGGAAGTCCTACTCACTGCCTTCTCGTGGCGAGGGTGTTGTTTACGAAAATGAGAGGACGAAAAGCGAACGTCCGGCGCTATAACCGGATCCCAAATCAATGGTGCACATGGGCTCCAGTATCCTGCGGGAACAAATGGCGTATGAACCAACTTTTGGTCACCGGCTTCCATGGGACTGCATCTCCTCACGATGCTCCACTGCCTTGTGGACTAGACCTTTAGGTCAAAGGCTCGGGGTGTGGCCCCCTAAGAAAACCACCTGCTTTGGTCTGGGCACCCGAGCAGTATCCCAGCCCACTCACTAAAACTATGATGAACTATCTGCTTATAGAAAATATTCGTTTCTTTCCGACTAACATTGAAATGACTGGTATTATTATTATTATTATTATTATTATTATTATTATTATTATTATTATTATTATTATTACTCTACCACGTCATTCATTCACCCTCTCTTATTCCTACTTTATGTATCCGTTTCGACCTAGACATCAGCTCACCTATGGTGAAAATTCAGCTTTATCTAAACGTTCTCGAGTCACTGCCTGGTTGAAAATTGTATGTTACCACCGAATACTAGTACTGAAGCAGTTTTTCTGAAACCACGTACACCATTCAAACTGGCTGCCTTCAACGTTCGCACACTTATGCAGGTCGGACAACAGATAGGTCTGGCTATGTCTTTGGAAAGTCTTAATATTGATGTGTGTTGTCTATCCGAGACCCGTATTCAAGACTCTGGTGAAGTACTACAAGTTCGCTCTCCATCTGTCACTTCAAAAGCTTGTTTTATGTGCGTTTATCCGGGGACCCTGTGGCATCTTCATCTGGTCTTGCTGGCGTTGGTGTCGCACCAAGCGCTAGAGCTGAGGCAGCACTAATCGATTGGATCCCCATTAACAGTCGGTTATGTGCTGTTAGATTAGAAAGTTCCATCAAAGTGAGAAGAAATCGGCGTGAGAAACGATGTCTTTTCGTCATCTCCGCCTATGCCCCGACAGATTGCAGCCCGGATGCAATCAAGGACGAGTTCTACCATCAGCTAACTGTTCTTCTCCAGAAAGTGCGTTCGACAGATATTGTAGTACTAGCTGGAGACTTGAATGCTCAGGTCAGGCGTCTAGGCACAGAAGAGAGTCGTTTAGGTGGCCGATGGGGACTTGTTGGTCGCAGGACGGATAACGGAGAACGCCTACTGCAACTATGCACAGACCACAACCTGTTTCTGGCTAGCACCAACTTTCAGCATAGTCATCGCCGATGTGCCACCTGGCGTCCCCCTTCTGCATCTCAAGCCTGGACTCAGATTGATCACATCGCGATCAGCTACCGCTGGCGCGGTTGTGTACAAGACTGCCGCTCCTTTTGGAGTACCTATCTGGAATCTGATCATGCTCTGGTCTGCGCCAATCTTACCTTACTTTTCAGTGGCCAACGAAGTAACCGCTACCAAATGATTGATGTTAGCAAGCTGGCTGCAACTTCTGTTGCTAGTAAGTACCGAACCGAGCTAGTTTCTAGGCTAGCTACCATTCCACCGAAAAGTATAGATGAGCATTGGTTGCAATTGCATGACGCCATGAAAATGGCGGGTACAGTCTGTTGTGGGTTTGCGAAACGTCCCGCTTACAAGCACTGGGTTTCTTCTGGTTCCTTACAACTGATTGAAGCCCGTCGGTCTACTCCGGGAGACCGTGAGTTTGACCACAGACGAAGGATGTTACGTAATGAAATCGGGCAAACGTTGCGTGAGGACCGAGAAGCCTGGTGGTCGGAGCGTGCCAGTGAGTTGGAAGCAGCAGCTGCATCTGGTAACTACCAGGAGCTCTTCCAACTCGTCCAAGACACTGGCAGCAAGAAGTTTGGTGTGAGCGAAACAATCTGCGAGGATGACGGAACGCCAATCACTAACATCCATCGACGTCTTGGACGATGGGCAGAATTCTTTGAAGGGCAGTTCAACTGGCCTGCTGCTCCAGCAACATCGGTCAGACTATCCTGCCCTCCATGGCCGGTGACGACTGATCCACCAAATGAGGCGGAAGTCCGCAAGGAACTCCAACTCTTGAAACGTTACAAATCACCGGGCCCAGACGACTTACCCCCGGCTCATTTTAAAGATGGTGATGACTTTCTGATTAAGGGACTGACGAAGGTCTGGGAACTAGAGTGTGTACCAACGTCATGGAATAAGTCGATAGTTGTCCCTATCTTAAAAATGGTTCACGCCGTTCCTGTAACAACTATCGGGGGATAAGTCTACTTCCGATTGCGTCCAAGCTCTTGGCTTCCGTCATACTTCGTAGGTTGTTCAAAACCCGAGAAGGATTGACTCGCGAGGAGCAGGCTGGGTTTCGTTCCGGTCGATGATGTATTGATCATATCTTCACCCTCCGCCAAGTGTTAGAACACCGCCATACTTATCAAAGGCCAACAATCGTAGTGTTTCTTGATATCAGGGCTGCCTTCGATTCGTTGGACAGAACTGTTCGCTGGGATTGTCTATTGAAGAAGGGTGTGCCTGAGAAGTTTATTAACATCCTAAAAGCCCTATACACAAACACCTCAGGCAGAGTGAGGGCATACAACCACCTTTCTCCATTGTTCCATTCAAACAGTGGAGTAAGACTGGGTTGCCCAATCTCACCATTCCTCTTCAACTTTGCCATCGATGACATTCTGGAAACAGCTCTGATGGATGTAAGTGATGGGGGTGTGGATCTGTTGCCTGGAGAAAACTTCTCGACCTTGAGTATGCGGATGATATTGTCTTACTGTGCAAGAATGTTCAAGTCATGTAATCCACACTTAATCAGTTGGCAATCAGTGTCCGTAGGTATGGTATGTGCTTTGCACCTTCGAAGTGCAAAGTTCTTCTACAAGACTGGCAGGATTCTAATCCTGTACTCACTCTGGATGGTGAGCAGATTGAAGTAGTCGAGAAGTTCGTGTATCTGGGTAGCTGCATAAGTGCTGGTGGTGGTGTGAGTGATGAGATCAATGCACGTATAGTGAAAGCCAGAGAGGCTTATGCCAATCTGGGTCATCTTTGGCGCCTTCGTGATGTTAGTCTGGCTGTAAAAAGTCGGATCTACAACGCGACGGTGAGAGCAGTTTTGCTCTATGCTTGTGAAACCTGGCCTCTCCGAGTTGAGGATGTTAGACGACTCTCTGTGTTCGATCATCGTTGTCTCCGAAGGATTGCTGGCATCCAGTGGCAACACCATGTCAGTAATGCAGAGGTCCGGCATCGTGTGTTCGGTCACAGAGACGATAGTGCAATTGGTGTCACCATCTTGAAACACCGACATCGGTGGCTTGGACATGTTCTACGAATGTCGTCCCAGAGAATTCCTCGTCGTGCATTATTTGCCGACTCTGGGACTGGTTGGAAAAAGCGGAGAGGTGGTCAGTATATGACATGGATAATTGGAAGAAAGTTAGGGGCGGCCAAACCAAAACGTGGCATCAGTGCTTGAAGTTACTAACTTCTGGTCTGAGCCATGTTGGGAGATTCAGACTGCCTGGCTGGGGTCCGCGTGACTATCGTAACCAATGGTTGGAGACTCTTGGTGAAATGGCTCAGAATCGATCACAATGGCGTCGGTGTATACACTCTCTGTCTTCCTTAAATTAAGAGATTAAAATCGCTTCATATCTGTCTAAGAACTAATTCTTTCTTCCTTTACTATCTCCTTATACACAATCTTTCTTCTATATATTACCACCACTGAATTAACTACTATGAATCCGGTGTTCATCTTGTTGTGCTAATGCGGTATGGCAACTTGGACCGATGCATATACGTGCCTGGTCCTACGTTGCAGCTGACTGACTGACTGACTGGTGTCGTGGTATGAAAGAAAGCAGCAAAGGGCTAGCTTCTGTTGGTCCTTCACGACTCCCTGGTTGGGGTCCGAGAGACGGTGTAACGCAGTGGCTAGAGACGTTATCAGATATTGGCTCAGAATAGAAGCCAGTGGCGATCCTGCTGTGACCTCTTACTTTCTTCATAAAAAGTGGTTGTATATTCCTTAACTGAAAGATCTCTTCTGATTGTACCTTTCCGTTTCCCCCACCATTGTTCTGTCTCTCTCCTTTTTTTTTTATAATTCCCCACGTTCAATACTTTTTTTTTTCTCTTTTCTCCTTCTCTTCAAATTATCATTGTTTTGTGTGGCACATATATATTTGGTGCCCCCCTGTACCAATATTTATGTGTTCAAATAAATAAATAAATAAAATAATAGCTTCAATTAACTCATAATCTCAACTATTAAAATTATTACAATATCCACAAAACCCCTTGTATTATTAAAACTATATTATTTTATTCATAACAATCTACCCAATGCTCGATTTATTCGGAATTATCAAGTCAAACCTTGGTAATGATACTTACTATGGTTCTATTTAGAGCAGTTTGAAATTATTTCATATTAAGGCCTGCATGTTCAACCTTACCCAACTGAGTTGTCAGCAAGATTTACCCATTTATAAAATGTACTGTCATAAGTAATTCTAAGTTTTTACATCAAGCCGTCACTTGCTTTTTAGAAACTAATTAAACGCTTGGAACAATTTGTGACTTATCTCTGTTGTTGTTACTCCATTCTTATAACTGCTTCACAGGTGAAACATGGAAAACGCATCCTATTGAGGTTTTTCAGAAGAGATTAAGCTCTAACATTAAGAAAACTAAGACTACTTCAAAGTCAGTCACGTGAGTTTTGCTATTGTCTACAAGAACTGTTTCTTAATAACACCTTGTTTCTGCAAAATGTATCACGGATTGCAATAAAATGCCTTTTTAACTTAATGATGGTAAGTAGGTGAAACATATATGCAAGTATAAGAAGCTCTTGACTGAAATGCATAGATAGTGATAGGAAATGAAAGCGGTTTTTATAAGCATTTTGTAGATTATTGAATAGATCCCATTCCCGTCGTCAAATATTCATTGAATTCACTCGCTACTTCGGTTGTAGAATAACATTTTTCTATAATGCAAAACAAATAAGTGAAAGCAAAATTTAGGTAGGATTCATTCTCAAATAAGCGAATTCTCAAGTTCTTGTTATAAATAAACAAAAATACCATTTCTTTAGGTGTTAACTTACATAAACCATAAGTAACGTAAATATATTGTCCAAGTTATTTGAAGTAAATTATTTGACGCTTAGCATTGATTTATAAATGCTGCATTTAACGATTACAGTCCTTCAGACAACCAGCATGACAGCGATGCTGCCTTTCCGCAAGAAGGTGTGTGGTTAGAATAGGTCGACCCTAAAAATGCATACCTCGTCTTATCCCACGGGAAGTGATAATCGCCCTCATACCTCCAACAGCACTCACGACCTTTACTTTTATTTTCTGTCAACACCATGAATTTATTTTTCAGGCTTTGTTAACTATATCAATAGAATCCAATAATTAAGCTAAATTCATTTTGTTTGTCAATTTACCGATTTTAGCTCATAAATGTCAACCTGTTAGGTCGCATAGGAACGAATAATAGACGCGAACAGACAACAGCGTCTATCAAGGAAATACGGAGTTAGGGTATTTAGATGTTCTAAGATTGTTATGTAGTTGACTTAACCCTGTTAAATTCACTTAGATATCTATCTTTTATATTTTCTCTAAAATTAGGGAGTTTTATCGACGACAAGATGAACATATTCGTGAATTGGAGAAGATCGCAACCATTATGGAGGCAGAGACCTCTGATGTGGAAGTAACCTCCAATCATCATTCTATTAGGCGGCAAACGCGAATTAATACGATGATTATTAGTATTGTATTTTGTGCCAACGTGGTAAGTATAATATCACTAATAATTAGTTTATGAACATTACTAAAATAAAAAGGAAGGAAATTTCATTTTAATGCAGAATGAAATATCCTTGGTAAATTCTAATAAGTTATTAATGCTTAGCGTTTATATGTTTTCATCTAGCTATTGTAACATAGGAAAATTATTTAGAATATCTAATAGGTTCAGAAACTAGTAATCTATCATCTGGTGTTTCGTTTGATCTTAGTTTATCATCTGCATAACTCCCATCTGCTTTTAATATTACACTAACGATCGTCCGGTTTCACGTTTGCTGGACTTACAGTGAATAGTAGCCTTAAATTCGGTTCATTGATTACTTTTCGACTGTGAACAGTAGTGCTGTGGTTCTTAGCTTTGGTAATTCTTTAAATGATGTCAGTTTAAAATCACTAATCTTAGCGTCCTTTCAAAAAGAAGCATCAAGTGAATGTATAATCAGACTTGTATGTTATCTCAAAATAGAATCTCTCAGTCGTTTTCACGTAATCTGTCAAACACTTGACAGTATTGATGAATACAATTATCAGCATTTTAATCTTAATCCACTCGCACTTATTTACTACTTGTATTTATACTTCAATTAAAATCTGTGGTTGTGCCAACAATTTAGCGAATATATTCATTACTTTCGCTTTAAACAATGCCCGTTTAATTGAAGACTAATGATTTCAAATAACTAGTCATCCATAACGAACACAAAACGTCATTTTAAATAGTGTTAATTTCTAGTAATATAAGTTTAGTGGTTTACGAATCGTAAACATCAAATCGTTTTGTTTTTCATAGAATAAGTCTGATATAATTGTTAGATGACTAAGATGAAAACGATCATTTGTTACTGAAGTGCCATGTAAATTTGTTAGCATTTCAGTGAATATAAAGAGATTAAATTTACTGGTGTCTAGGATTAAGCAACCGATTTTCTATGAGTTCATCCTCTTCGAAACAACAAAGTAGAAAAACCTCTTTTCTAATTTTTAACGCTAGAGGTTTGGTCTTAGTTTGATATAATTCCTACACTAATTTATTTTCCTTAACTTTTATGAATGTGACACTTCATTCACCATGAAATCAATTTATTTTATTCAGTGAAATTTTAAATAAAATATAATTTTCTAATAGTGTTATTATTTGTTTAACGATTTTATATTTTATGTATAAAACTAACTTGATAACTTTATTTATCATATTGCTGATTTGGAATTACATCAATCTAGGTACTTTTATTGGGTAAAGCTGTAGCATCTGCATTATCAGGGTCATTAGCAATCATATCATCTTTGTTAGATAGTTGTGTCGATTTGGCTTCCGGTGGAATCATGTGGTTTGCTGCTCGTCAAATGCGTAAAAGGAAGCCATACAAATACCCAGAAGGTAATTTAGTTTAAAATATTTTAACTGATCATAAAATGATCTACAGTCTGTAGCCTGGTTAGTTTAAATTGTTGTTACAGTTGTTTTAAATGGTCTTTTCAATACGACATCCAGTTGATTCCACTAACAGTATGAATGACTCTCAAAATATGGACTGGTGAATGATGTGTTGGAAGAAATCTGAATATTATAAACATTTGTTAACATATAACTTTTCTGCGATTAAATTCAGCAATTTTTTAGAGTTCTCATCTTTTAAAATGGTGTTTTATACATCGATATTAATTCTGAAATTACCACTTCATCTAGTTATCGATTTTTAATTAAACATCATCATCAATTTACTGTTAGTATCTATTTACAAACCTTTACTTAATGAGACTGATTATTTCCGAAATTACTGAAATGTTCAAATATAGTATGAAGAAAGAATAAGTAACATATCATAGCAATTGACTTCTAAATTGTTTAAGAAAAAGTGCATATCTTTCGGTAACTAGTTACGAAATTTTAAAAATATATAGAACTAAGTTATGAGTCCAATCATCCGATAACAAAAATTATCGCAGTCTCATTGAAGTGAACGAGAACTGAGATGGGGTACACCAATTGATTGTCTAATGCAAAATTACAAAGTGCCTTCGTATAATCTGAAAACCATACATTAAATACATTTTTTGCACATTTTTCAGTTGTCCTTCCCGTTTTCTTTAATTTAATCACCTCAACCCTTTGTTGGCAGGCATATCATTTCTGATTGCTCCTACATACTACTTGTACCCATAAGCGTAAGTAACATGCACCACAGCATGCTGGTAATCATTTGTGCTCTCTATTCAACGTTGATAATGATAATGTATGTGGCTAAATTGCCAGTCTTCATTATGTAATTGCATGAGCTCTTATATGGTTGAAAGCGAATCATCATCACCATCATCATCATCATTTAGCTATGTTGTTAAACCAGATGATGGTAGTAATTACTTATGATCTTAGTGTAAATTTCTAAGATACTTATTATTTATGCTTTACAGTTATTAAATTCACTGAAATATTTACCAACCATTTTTATTTCAATGTTGGGTTTTTGCAAATCATATGAAAGTGAAACAGAAACAAGGTCTCTAAAATGCTGTTATTTTATTTTCTTCTTAGGGAGAACAAGACTTGAACCATTAGCAGTGATTGTACTCTCTGTATTTATGGGTAGTATATCCATACAACTTCTAGCTGAATCTGTACAAGCCATTGTTCGTATGTCACAAAATAATCAAGAGGCACCACACGTTAGTGATTTAGCATTGGGAATAATGGCATCCGTAATTGGTAAGAATTATATATAATGTTCAAAAAATGTGTTTTCAAACTTCATTTGAAAAGCTGTGATCTAGACCCACAAAATACCTGTTGACTAGTAGCCGATATTTCACTGACTTTACCTATTGTCAATTTAATTGTCTTATATAGCACAAAAAATGTAATCAGAGGGTTGAACGTTTCCACTAAGTCTCTTTTGTCATATTTACCTGTTCATTTGTAATGGCAGAAGCATTCATGTTGCAAGAGTATAGAGGGTCTTCACTGAGAACTTCTGTAGACACACAAGTTATTTGATGGCAAATAATCCCAGGATTCCCAGTAGTAACACAGACAGATATCTCAATAAAATTTATCGTGTAGCATATCTCAATACAACGTTCGAAGTAATAAATACACGGTACAACGACAGATTTCTACATAAAACAAAAACAGTACTTATTTTTACTCAATCACGTACTGTTAGTATTATCACTATTACACTGATTAATTAACTATTTTTTTGAAGTCACTATATCCTATCATTTTTTCTTGCCTACTTAATAATAATTCCCATTTGTTACTTGTGGTCATAGACGCTGTTCCTCCATCGATTGAGCTTATACGAATTTAGAAAATATTGTAATTAGTTTTCTGTGTTAAACTGAATTATTTCATGAACATTATGCACAAAATCACATTCATAAAACACTTTATCTATAAAAGTTAGTGGCTAAGCGAAATGTTTCGAATACATGAAATGTAATGAATTTCCACTGTGTCATTGAAGAAGAAATATAGCCAATGTATCAAAGTAACTCTGTTTTGTGGTAATATTATTTACCAAAGCTGTGTGATCATATTTGTAGTTCATCAGTAAATTATATTAGTATACTTCCCACACAAAGCGAGCTCTTTATAATTTCATTTTCGATCATTACTCTGGTTGGTTATCAAAGGGACTATTCCGAATCACTGATAAGCTATTATCAAATTTAATCATTCTGTTTTTCATATTCATCAAATGTACATTAATCTCTCTCCAATAAAATATTCTTATGTTAACATTTTTCATTAGCCGTTATATCGTTGCATAACTTCACTTTTGTATTGAATGTTTGTCATCAACTTATAACTCAATACTACGCAATGTTTACAATTTCTTTATATTCTTCATATCAACAATTATCTCTTATCTGTAATCTATTTTTACTTTGATCTGTTGTGTACACTTTTTATACTTCAGAAAACTATATATATAGCTTACAAAATATTCAAATGTAATTATGGATGGTCAAAGTGTGCGTATGAACAGATATTAATGGAAGAAAATAGGACAGTACGATGGTTATATATAAGTTCTTGACCTTTTGAAACGGATGTATATATCGCTTAAGTTCTTAAATGATTACAGGAGACTAGCGGGATTTCTCCTACACTTTATTGTAGACAACCAATAATCACTGACGAATCAGTTAATCACCTACTGACGTTTTAACTACATTCATTGAAAATAAAAAATCCTGCTTACCTTACGGTTGGTACTATCCTTCAGTTTATAAAAAATTCAATAATTTCAACTCCATGCCTTTATTATTCGAAATTTAGAGTTGTATTTCTCTAGAAAAATAATTGATAAAGTTAATCTATCTCTTTGCTTTATTATTTAATTAACTAATTGAATGATAAATTTATTAGCCGTTTTCACATTTATTATCATTTATAGTGACTAAATTAATCTTATGGATCATTTGCTTTAAATTTGGTGGTGGAATGGCTATCGATGCGCTTAAAACCGATCAACGCAATGATATACTTACAAATGCTGCATCAATTTTATTTAGTGGTCTTGCTGGACGTTTACGTAAGAATTTCTACTGTTTCAGTATTTTCTAATAACATTTCAAATTCATCATTATCTCCATAAATAAACTTGATAATCACACTCCAGAAGATTGGATAAACATGTGTTAAGTTGAATGCCATCTCAGTGGTCTAGGCGGCCGAAAGTCCTGAGTTCAGTTGCCAGATGGGGGGGGGTTATGATGGTTAGATGAATTTGTGGAAATATAGTTATATCTGCTATGTTGTTGATTGTTCTGCTTAAATTTACCTCATCTAGTAACTGTTGTAAAAGAGCAACTATTCATTGGTTCATAATTGTTTAAATCAGTCACTATTCCATAGAAACAAGCTAGTTCTTGAGGTCAGAAATCTAAGCCAATATTCATGCTTTAACACAATGCCACAGTCCTTCAGCAAATAGTTGATTGTTTCCAGCTACTGCCTCACAGAATTATTACCATTGTGAGAAATATCCTCTGAAAACAATTTATAAGCAACATCTCAAATAATTTAACATTAAATATCTATCCACTAGATGTATCATGATTTCCTGTATCAACCTGATCATGTCTGTAAACGGCTATGGATTCTGTAGGAATTCTCAAAATATATTGTATTTAAGTGGAATAAATGTATACAAGACAATACTATATGCCAACAAGTATGTATAGAACTGGTATTTTATATCTATTTAAGGATTTTTGGATTTTGCTTGAGGGTCGATTTGACGTCTCGACTTCCAGAACAAAGCGGATTGTTTTCCTGAAATGCGATGTCAATAATGCTAGCCTATAAGTCAGATTTACGAGGCAGTAAGGATACGGTGAAAATTTCCTTTGTATAGTAGGTGGTGATTAAGACAGATCTAAAGACATATTATTCCTTTTATTTTATAAAGCCCTTGTGGACCTTTAGCCGAATGTCAACTTGAGATCTAAGTATAATTAATTATTTGCCATCTGTTAAACGTGTTGAAATTAACGAAGTTGTGATCAGTTTACAATATACCTCCTTAGACCCGTGGACTAGGTGAACAACCGTAAGAATGTAGTGTTTTACATACCAAGCCAGTAGGTTGTTTCATCAGCTACGACTTTTTATTGGTATTGTTGTACAAAGTCTTTTTACTCGTATGCTTTCTCTATCATTCCTAACTACGTCTTGTTGTTTTGCCTAGACATGTCCTAAGAATTTTGTGTTCAAATGTAGATTGTATATAGCTAATCCACGTTTTTAATCATCGGTCTTAATTACTGTTCGAGAGCAAGGTAGGTATCACCCAATTTTACAAAATGAAACCAATTAATTAGTATGGCCTTTCTAATCAATTGATTGTAATACCGTGCTTCAACGCATTGATCTTGCAGGCATTGTAAATAGTTATTTTGAACTTTATTGATCATTATCTATTTTATGTAGATTTTGGAGAAACAACCTGTAATGTTGGCATCATATAAATTGTTTCGCTCAAATGCGTATGAGAAATCTATCAACTTAAAGATTGCTCCTATCACAAAATAACGTTAGCTGAAAAACTAATATAAACCATGAAAAAGTAAACAGTCACTAAGACCTAGTTTTGAGATTTTTATCATTTATAAACTTCTCACACGACATTCGCGAATCGATCACAAAACTCAAAAACAAGTGCATTAATGATCTGTTGTAGTTTCGATTCAGTTCAGTTAGTTGATTTCTTCTGTATTGCAAAATTATGTGGGTAGTAACCAACAAACATAAAATAATTTTGATTGAGATCCTTAATGGATCAATGTTCAACCACAATTGCACTGCCGAGGAGTCTCATACTAGGACAAAACGGCCATCCAGTGCTTCTAGGTTTTCAATGGTGGTCTAACATTGATCCATTCATGATTTCAATCAAAACTCAACAATCTGTACAACCGTAGACTGATGAAATAATTTTTGTGGTTCATTATAACAAAATATATATCGTTTCAGGTTACTAGTTGTTCAATGTCACGATACATTAAATACTCACTATAGTATTCTAAATAAGGTATATTTGAATGTGTGCTCATTTCATGTACTCTTCTATAATCGAGTTTGATCTTTGATTCTTCGTTTGATTAAATGATAGGACGCAATGTGTACATTAACGATTTGAACACGTCTTCATAGTTGACCTTATATAACTGAAATTAGAATGAAGTGGTTTTATTTTTTGGAAGCTATACAGTGTTCTTAAAAAGTAATGGTGCTTATTTTGCGTGCAGATGACTTAATACTTTTATAAGAACAATATGAAAATCGGTTCTCAATATATGAACTGAAGAAACCGGCTGTCTGAATAATAAGTTCATAAATAAATGACTCATTTTATATACATTTAACTGCCCAAATCACCCATCTCTGATAATTATTTGTCAGTTTATTCAAGGAAATTCTTTATAATATCTAGCAACAAATGTCTGTTCGGACAAATTTATGATTATTGCGAGTTTCATGTGAAGTTTATCTTCATTGATGTTATTGATTATTAGCAATAGTATTTCTGAGGTTCTATTTACTCAGCTCTAATCACTGTAAAATAAATCAACAACATTCATTACAGCTCCTTTACTAGGACAAAGTAAGTTTTTATTATTGATGCTGGGGCTTGTTTTGCCAAGAGTATATATATATATATCATCAATCAATATCACTATTTTCCTCATCATATCTTCACTGCATTGTCATGTTCTAATTTGCACTTGCTCAATTTTGCACGAAATCCAGTTTTACCGTTATGATATTTGTCATAGATCTGTTTATATTTGTGATGTTACCAACAATAATAATAATAAATTATTATTGTTGTTACTCTCTGTATTAATAATTCATCTATTTTTATAAATTACTTTCTTATTAAATTAGTTTCTTTTGACATATTGTCGACTTTATTTGTGAAGCATTATCATCACTATGTTTGTCCTTATTTACGTATTGTTTCTGATGGTATATTATAATGCTGAATGTATTTGATAACAAAATGTCCATAAAGTTTATACCTTATATGAGATGGAATATTATTAAATTGATATGATCTGGATATATGTACGCTGTTTTATCAACTCTATATGAGTGGAAATATTTAAGATTTGTTCACTAAAAACTATCATCAATAAAAAAACTCAGGTGTGACCTCTGATTTCCTATTTATTGGTAAGAACACTGTAACTAAGATCTAGGTGAATTGATTAGACACAGAACAATAATGTTGCTAAACAAGTTGATTTACATGTGTAATACTGAATCACTTACACCTCATTATCAGAAGGAAAATCTGTTTTCAGATATTTACAGTTACATTTTTATAAGTATACAGTGCAAGTTTAGAAATTTTTGAAAATTAATCAAATGGATCATCTTCAAACAATTCTATCACAGTGTCAGTATTGTATAACTTGTTCACTCAAACTTCATCATTATGGATAACTAGAAATAAAACCAGTGATAACCATAAAGAAATATTTTTTACTTAATTCAAACTATTACTGCTTTAAATTTGTCCATGTTTTCAATGATAATCGTTTATATAGTAGATTTGTGAATGTTTCCGCTTTCATTGAAATCATTAATTTTTTAATGAATCATATAAAGTTATCTGTTTCTTTGATACTTTCTGTGTTGAAATATATATTCAACATATTTCTGATAATGATGTATAAACTGCCTGTCACAGTCATCATGAATTTGTTATAAAAAAAGTATTTACCTTTAAAGACGATTTAAATTACAGTAAATATTTGTATGAATTCAGGTATTCTTGTTTTACTGATATTTGAATTACAACCAAGCCTCTATTCATATTAAAATCTGAATTCTTTTGTCAATAATGTAATAATTAATATGATCTTAGGTAACTGAAACCCTTGTTTGCTTCCAGTTTTATTTTTCAGGTTTGTAGCTAATTAATAGAATGTTATATTTATGAACATCATCATTCTCACTGATCAAGGTGTTTAATTTTTATGTCATTAAAACAATAAGACATATTTGTTCGACTTCTAAAAGAATGCAATTGGATGAGGTGTTAGAATGTGTATGGTGGATAATTTGTTTATGCAACTTAACTCCAAAGCCCAACTAAATAATTTATCATGGAAAGAGCAACTGGACGATAAACAGTATATTGGGGATATAAAACTATCATTTACGGTTTAATTGTTGGTGTTATGATCTAGTCTTCAATATTAATCTAAATATGTAAACCTGTTACGGTTGACCTTGGTACACTGTAAATTATATTTGCTATTGTCTAACAGTATGTCCAATGCTTATCATTGTTTAATAGAAGCAACTTGAGACAATGTACGAACGACAATCTTTCCATAATACAATGTAATTACTGTACGTCGTTATCTAGTCTTCAACTCCATACGTGTTAACGAGTTTAGTTGTTTGCAATTATTAACGTAATATTGAAATGAATTGTAAATTAGTAACGAATAAGATGTTTAGAATACGAAAACAGAAATTAAAGTTGAACAGAACTTTTTTGGTTGCTTGGATTGATAATTATCAAATATTTGTTACGTAATATAAAGTAATGTTATAAGAAGCTTGGAGAAAAAGTATGTTTAAATTCAACTCACTAGACTATTACATGCGAATAGCATTAATTCATTTTGAGTAATCAGTGTATATCGAAAGTGAACGAATAATAATAGCTAATCAGATAAGGAACCATAAAATTTAGATCATAATTTACCATTGTTCATTTTTCATTTCTCATTTATTTACATCGTTGTAAGTTAAATATGTTGATTTTATTAAATGAAAATAGTTAAAACAATAGGAACATTTAAAATAGTCCGACCTACTATTTCTAATAATCTTTAGTTGTAAGTAGGTTAATAAAAGTAAAATGGTTGTGCTAGTTTAATTGTTAACATGTAATACAACGAAGTCACTATAAAAAAGTTCTACAAAATGTACTATACGCTTTTTCCTGATTTTTTCTTCTATTCACTTTTTTTTACTTTGTTTCAATACTGAACAACATGGTTGCCAATGACTACAAGTTATTTCAACAGTGAAGATTTATGAAACAGAATATTCTGTAGACAGACACAAGCTGTTTATTAATCATATATAGTTTACTTAATGAACCAACGAATCACTAAGTGGATTCATTGATTCCTTGTTCTACTTGTTTAACACTTAATTATTTTATACAGTCAACATGATTTATATTTCTTGTTTTAAATAAAGAACAGTCTAAAAGGGGTTTTTTCATTTGGTTTTAACATTTTTCATGAGTACAAAAACACTGGATATTACTAATAAAAAATGTATAATTTAAGTGAATAAATTTAGATAGTGTAGCATGAAGGCATAGAATACTACACTATCCAAATTTATCAAAGGAGCTAATTGCTTTAATTTTGAATAAATTTAAATAATCATTCAATTTGTTTTTCACTTGAGTTTTCATTTTTCAGCTGGAAAATGTTTCATTGTCATGCAAATAATCACTGGCCTTTGAAATATATTTGAATATTAAAGTTGACTCGAAAATATTGATTTTTACACAGAAATTAAATTTGTGAAACAAACGTTGAAACATGGAAAATTATTTTATAAATTTTCATATGCTACTTTAAAACGTTCTTTTTGAGTAGATCACATGTATTTCTAAATCTCTCACCGGTTTTTCTTCTATTTAAACTGGAATTAATAATTATCTTGAATTAGACAGTAGGATACAGTGAGTTTGCTTGGCGTGTTTTCAAAAGTCTTTGATCAGAACTAATAAATTAAATGTTGTAGGGATTTAGAATGTAATTTATTACATTACCGTTGCGATGTAGCTCACATTTTATGTGATTGAATTGTATAAATATGACCAAAATAGTTTTATTGGAAAAGATCATTCTTTTATCTCATCGGAATGTTTGATGCCATATATTGGCAAACAATATTTCAGGGACTCAAAAGGAAATGCTAAGTGACATTTTAAATTATTAGCTTCAATCACCGGGAAAACGTCAATAGATAATGGAATGAAAAGTTTGTACATTTTTTATCTGTTCACTTTTTAGTTCAAATTTAAAAAATAAATTAATTTCATTAAAATTAGCATGTGAGCAGGGTTTTATTTTTAGCGTAGACTGATCATGCATGTACTTAGTGTATTATTCCATCTGATATAAATGTGCATTTTCATTTTACAATGGTGTGATTGTTTCAACAACTCGTTGTTCATTATGAATTCATTTGGTCAAAGTGATCAATTGTTTTTACATTGTTATCTATTCATTAAAAATGCTACAAAGATCAATGTTTCACTGTACAATTATATATATATATGAACTGATTCGATTTATTCTCTTTTTCCTATTTATAGAACAATACGAACATCTTAAGTATTTAGATCCCGTTGGAGCTATACTTATTGGTTCTTATATTTTGTATTCTTGGTATCAGCTTGGTGCTGGTAAGTTGACGATTCTTACAAAATATTATTTTCCATTCACATATAAAACTTTTAATAGAGTTTGGTCGCGGCTAGCAATAAGATCCAAGAGGCCTGGCTCGTCCTATTTCTAATTCATCAGACGCATAAATATGCACACCAATCTTGATGCTCATGCCAAGAATCAAACCCATTACCTTATGACTAAAACTCTCGACACCTTGTTCACTTAGTTACTGATTCCATTTACCCATTGACTTGTGAAACTGTGCATTCGAAGAGAAGGGCATTGGGTTTGAGTCTGTGTGTCAACACGTACACTGGAATACACCTACATTTAATTAATGAATCTCAAACAGGACAAAACGCATGTTATGAATTCTACTCCTGACCAATATGAAGCATTTCCGAAAATTGCTTGTGACCTAATGGAAATATCTAGGAGATCCTATCAGGATTTGCTTATGCCCAAAAACCCTAATTAATCCTAGTCGATATCAACAACAGGAAAATTCAAATGCTTATAGAGAAAACTTAGAAGTGCTTTAGTTGTAAAAGAATATGAATATAGTTACGTTTCAGCATATCAAAACTCGCTTTTACGTGATGTTGATTTACGCCTAGTGTTCGTGAAGCACCTATAAATGAATAAAGTATTTTTCATATGTGAGTTTATGATAATTTGAAATTGAAATAATAAATTATTTCTATCGAATGATATAAAATAAGTAAATAAACTACATTTAAATCGAAAATGAAGCCTGATAAGTTGAATTTGAATAAGGACTTATTGTAATGAATAAGTGAATAAGTATAAATGAAATATTTTGAGAATATATGCTTCATAGACCCTAAGACCATATAGATTATGTCCATGGTCAGATTTATCAGTCTAAAAAACTTTGTATCAGCGTTACGTTTTTCTCCTCTCAAATATAAGATTTCAAGCTTTTTTAATCTCGCAAAATATTGTAAATTCAAGTTTGTTTATCCTTGTAAACAAACATAAAATAATTAGGTAGTTATTTCATGATTCTTCAAATAGATGAGAATATTAAGATGCTTGAAATTTCTAACTAGATGAAATCTAATTTTTCTTATGAAAACATATGTTAAAATGCTTAGAGTTACTTTCAATGACAAAACATTACTTACTATTTAGCTAGAATTTGACAACGTATTCCATTATTATAAATTTAATTTAAATATATATATTTGCTTCCTTAGAGTAACGTTAAACGTTTTATTCACTTGGTTGAACTTATTCACTTCATAATGTCTGGGTTTTGTAAACGGTTTTTATGAACAATGAATATCAGAAAAATAAAGTACACAAAAACACTCTGGATAATAAACCAGTATTATCAGGGTAGGTTAAGGGTAAGAACAAATTGTTTTTGAGCACATAAAGGGGGTTTCAGTTTCCGTATAGCCAAGGCTTCAATAAATCTTAGTATATGCCCTTGAAGGCTTTTGTACAACACTGTGAAGGCTGACTTGCTATCAACCTTATAAACAGTCTCAACCAAATGTTTCCCAGTGGAGGAAGATTTCGGTCTATCATGTGATCTTATTTGACCATTGGAATTCATTTGTTTCTGCAGCTATTTGCGTATGTGTCCCGCCACCCTTACTTGCAGATCATGATTGCCTCCTCCCACCTAGTTACGTGTTTTCGCACACACATGTTAATTTATAGACACAATGAGATGCGACACAATTGCTTACGTGCTGTTTTGGCTTTTGGTGTAACATAGACCATGTCTTTTCAGCAATGACAGTTTGGGCTGCATAAAATGTCCTGTTGATGGTTAACTTAAGTCTCCATTTCAACATGAGGCTATTTGAGGCTCCTCTAAGTGTTAAGATAACGTAAAGTGGCTTTTTATGTTCCAGAAGTGGTTAGTATATTGTTTTTGTGTACTTTATTATTCTTTGTTACTGCGTACTATGAATCTGTTTAGTGGACCTTTTGCTTTTGATATAAAAATGTCCTGACAAGTATATATATGATCTGATTGTTTGAAATGTATTGCGCAAATATATCGTATAATTCCGATAATCTTAGTCTTCTGATTGCATTATCGAAATTTATCAAAGGGACTAACTGTTTTGAATAGAAGAAACTTAATTTTTGTAAAGCAAGAATAACAAACATTGTGGGACGAAGCGAATTGATACGCATCGAATTAGAATATTTCAGTAAATATAATTTTGTGTGTAACATATATAAAGTCATTTAGTTCACTAGTGAGAAAATAATCGTAAATACTTTCTATATTCAAACAAGTTCAAAATATTGAACAAATGATAAGGGACGGATTGATTGGAAGGGAGACCAAGATTTAATTGAATATAATAACAGATATGTACAAAACTGTTATGATGATACTATACAATCTTTTTCACCTCTGTTTAATCACAATAATACTTTCATTGTCCACTTTGGTGAAATCTTCATTTCCAATTTATGGTTATTATAACTAGGTTACCGATTTTACCATTATTCAATAGGTTGTTTGACCCCTTATGAAGACATAAATATTGGAACACCTTCGTTTTTTCATACCCTGTTCAGTTGTGCTTGATATCATTAGCATTATTATCACCATTAGTGGGATCACTTCATTATTATTATTTTGGTAATTACTAAAACTTTTGTCTTGTACCATCATAACAGTTTTGTACATATCTGTTATTATATTCAATTAAATCTTGGTCTCCCTTCCAATCAATCCGTCCCTTATCATTTGTTCAATATTTTGAACTTGTTTGAATATAGAAAGTATTTACGATTATTTTCTCACTAGTGAACTAAATGACTTTATATATGTTACACACAAAATTACATTTACTGAAATATTCTAATTCGATGCGTATGAATTCGCTTCGTCCCACGTTTGTTATTCTTGGTTAATAAGCGTTTATTGTGGGTACTAATTATGGAAGAAAATTATTTATAAATATGAACGTCTTACATGTTTTCCTTAAATCACACTAATGGTAAATCTACGTTAATGTCATTACTAATTCTACCACTCTATCATCATCATGTATTTTTATTGGTATTAACAGATCTTCACCATTATTAGTTTGTATTACAACTAGTTAATAAAACTATGAATGCCTATTATATTCTAGCTCAAGTACCTAAATGGTAGTTGTTATTAGTTTGATTATTTAGTTCCAGAATAACAATTTATTAATATGATTAAGGCTTTATTATTTGATATAACTTTCCTCATCTAAACTGGAAATTGTACATATTCTGTTTGAAAAATACACTGATGCATTTTATAAGATTTAAAGTTCTTTAAATCATATTGGTAGAAGAATACATATTCAACTTTTTGGTGTATAAAACTACATTTCATTCTAACTATTTCGATAGATAATAAAGTTTAAATAACTTCATCATATTATAACGCTAATGTATGAACGAAGAATATTCGCTTCAGTTATTAATCAGTTTGTAGGTATCAATGCCAAAATGAGACTTGATATTTTTAAATAAATAGATCATTGAGTAGAAAGTTAGTAAAGGAACACATTCTTCTAATGTCCTAATGAGTAGTGAATTGTAGAAAAACCGAACAACTCGGTATTGGTCAATTTAGTGCAAACTGTTCATAGTACCAGCATAACTCCATCTTTTTTTAATTGTTTATCGGGTTAGTAATTTTTTCTCAAGTCAATCAGATAGTAATGTCTGATTGTGTGGTAAACTGAAAATTTGAAAGTGTTTGCAGAATTTGTTGATTTTCGAAGTAATAATTTGTATTCCTTTATCTTCATTTACAACTTTCGTTTCTCAAAGTTGCAAGGAGGCCAGTCATAATTCACAAACGTTTTTATGTAATATACATTATTAAATGAGTGTAATTTTTTAGTTATAAAACGACTTCTGAATCGTAACAATCTTTTTTAGAACAGATACGTAATCTAGCTGGTCATACAGCAAATCCAAGGTTTATTCAAAAGATTGCATTCGTTTGTCTTAATTATCACCCATTGATTGAACAATTGGATACCATTAGGGCATTTCATTTTGGTGAAAACTTTTTGGTTGAGGTGAGTATTTTATTCTTTTAATTACTCACGATAGTAGAAATAATTTAATTCACTTTATTTAGTAACAGTAATCAGAAATATATCAGTTTGTCTGATCAATATTTAACTGAGAGTTCACACTTTTTGATTTCACTTCTTTTATAACATGTGGCCTGTGTGCCCTGCTATTGTATAACATAACGATAGCGACAATTAGAGAGCAGTGAGTTATCGATCGGACCAATGATGCGTAAAACACGTACGAGCAGTCTAGAGTCCTGATTGGTCCTGCTTCCGCCTAGCCCAGCCAGTCATGTCCAGAACACCAATCCGAGCCTCTGCGATATGAATCATGTATTTCAAACATACTCTGTTTATATACCAATCAAACAGACCACAACGTACCATAAAATAGAAAATAACATTTGTACAAAATTTAGCCAAATGTGGCTGTGAATGTGGGAGGTAGTGAATAATAGAATCGTAGAGCGTATAATAATATAGAACAACATATATAAGCGAACAATATTGTTTTCGATTAGATCCTCACCAGGCTTTACCGTGAAAAATAAAATAAAATGGTAGGAGGGGGTGAAGAAAAAATAACAAACGAAGAGAAGGTTTGAAAAGGCCAAGAGAGAGGTAAGGGTGTTACATAGGTCATAGGTCAAAATAAAGCTTATAATAAGAGGGACATGAATATCAATAGTTTAGTTAAACCAATTATACGATAAAAATATACGTTTAGTATTGGTCCATAAATGGATCCCAAAAGTTACCATTTATTATGCTTATTGGGACATAACAACTCCATAAAGGGATATTTTAGCAGTTGAAGATTATTATGATTATGCTTCAAACAATAGGTAGAATTCTTAGCCTTTCTCTTCAACCTTTATGTCGTTGCTGAATTATAGGCACAAATAATCAATAGCTCTAGACCTTATAAGTTTTAATATCATTGATGTATTGAAAATGTTCTTGTTTTGTTACCATTTATTTCTCAAATGCCTTGGTATGGCCGAGAGCAGGGTGGGTTAGCCCTCCCTTTTGAAATACTCTCACACAGCCACGCGTATACAGCCTCTGCCAGGAAAGTCTTACCCACTGCCTTCTCGTGGCGGGGTGTTGTTTACGAAAATGAGAGGACGAAAAGCGAACGTCCGGCGCCATAACCGGATCCCAAATCAATGGTGCACATGGGCTCCAGTATCCTGCGGGAACAAACGGCGTATGAACCAATTTCTTGGTCACCGGCTTCCATGGGACTGCATCTCCTCACGATGCTCCACTGCCTTGTGGGTCAGACCTTTAGGTCGAAGGCTCGGAGTGTGACCCACTAAGAAAACCACCTGCTCTGGTCTGGGCACCAGGGAAGTATCACAGCCCACACACAAATATAATGAAAATGATGATGTTCTCTGAAAACTCTATTCACGCCGCGATTTACCGTCAAAAAATTCACATTATTATTATTATTATTATTATTATTATTATTATTATTATTATTATTATTATTATTTACTACGTCATTTATTCACTCTCTTTTATCCCACTTTATGTATCCTTATTTTTCAACTTACAGCAGCTCACCTATGGTGAAAATTCGTCTCTGTCTAAACGTGCTTGTGTCACTGCCTGGTTGAAAATTGTATGTTACCACCGAATACTAGTACTGAAGCAGTTTTTCTGAAACCACATGCACCATTCAAACTGACTGCCTTCAACGTTCGCACACTTATGCAGGTCGGACAACAGATAGGTCTGGCTATGTCTTTGGAAAGTCTTAATATCGACGTTTGTTGTTTATCCGAGACCCGTATTCAAGACTCTGGTGAAGTACTACAAGTTCGCTCTCCATCTGTCACTTCAAAAGCTTGTTTTATGTGCGTTTATCCGGGGACCCTGTGGCATCTTCGTCTGGTCTTGCTGGCGTTGGTGTCGCACTAAGCGCTAGAGCTGAGGCAGCACTAATCGATTGGATCTTCATTAACAGTCGGTTATGTGCTGTTAGATTAGAAAGTTCCATCAAAGTGAGAAGAAATCGGCGTGAGAAACGATGTCTTTTCGTCATCTCCGCCTATGCCCCGACAGATTGCAGCCCGGATGCAATCAAGGACGAGTTCTACCATCAGCTAACTGTTCTTCTCCAGAAAGTGCGTTCGACAGATATTGTAGTACTAGCTGGAGACTTGAATGCTCAGGTCGGGCGTCTAGGCACAGAAGAGAGTCGTCTAGGTGGCCGATGGGGACTTGTTGGTCGCAGGACAGATAACGGAGAACGCCTACTGCAACTATGCACAGACCACAACCTGTTTCTGGCTAGCACCAACTTTCAGCATAGTCATCGCCGATGTGCCACCTGGCGTCCCCCTTCTGCATCTCAAGCCTGGACTCAGATTGATCACATCGCGATCAGCTACCGCTGGCGCGGTTGTGTACAAGACTGCCGCTCCTTTTGGAGTACCTATCTGGAATCTGATCATGCCCTGGTCTGCGCCAATCTTACCTTACTTTTCAGTGGCCAACGAAGTAACCGCTACCAAATGATTGATGTTAGCAAGCTGGCTGCAACTTCTGTTGCTAGTAAGTACCGAACCGAGCTAGTTTCTAGGCTAGCTACCATTCCACCGAAAAGTATAAATGAGCATTGGTTGCAATTGCATGACACCATGAAAATGACGGGTACAGTCTGTTGTGGGTTTGTGAAACGTCCCGCTTATAAGCATTGGGTTTCTTCTGGTTCCTTACAACTGATTGAAGCCCGTCGGTCTACTCCGGGAGACCGTGAGTTTGACCACAGACGAAGGATGTTACGTAATGAAATCGGGCAAACGTTGCGTGAGGACCGAGAAGCCTGGGGGTTGGAGCGTTCTAACGAGCTGGATGCAGCAGCTGCATCTGGCAATTAGCGGAAGCTCTTCCAACTCATCCGAGCCACTGGCAGCAAGAAGTCTGGTGTGAGCGAAACAATCTGCGAGGATGACGGAACGCCAATCACTAACATCCATCGACGTCTTGGACGATGGGCAGAATTTTTCGAAGGGCAGTTCAGTTCAACTAGCCTGCTGCTCCAGCAACATCGGTCAGACTTTCCTGCCCTCCATGGCCGGTGAAGACTGATCCACCAAATGAGGCGGAAGTCCGCAAGGAAATCCAACTCTTGAAACGTTACAAATCACCGGGCCCAGACGACTTACCCCCGGCTCTTTTTAAAGATGGTGATGACTTTCTGATTAAGGGACTGACGAAGATCTGGGAACTAGAGTGTGTACCAACGTCATGGAATAAGTCGATAGTTGTCCCTATCTTAAAAATGGTTCACGCCGTTCCTGTAACAACTATCGGGGGATAAGTCTACTTCCGATTGCGTCCAAGCTATTGGCTTCCGTCATACTTCGTAGGTTGTTCAAAACCCGAGAAGGATTGACTCGCGAGGAGCAGGCTGGGTTTCGTTCCGGTCGATGATGTATTGATCATATCTTCACCCTCCGCCAAGTGTTAGAACACCGCCATACTTATCAAAGGCCAACAATCGTAGTGTTTCTTGATATCAGGGCTGCCTTCGATTCGTTGGACAGAACTGTTCTCTGGGATTGTCTATTGAAGAAGGGTGTGCCTGAGAAGTTTATTAACATCCTAAAAGCCCTATACACAAACACCTCAGGCAGAGTGAGGGCATACAACCACCTTTCTCCATTGTTCCATTCAAACAGTGGAGTAAGACTGGGTTGCCCAATCTCACCATTCCTCTTCAACTTTGCCATCGATGACATTCTGGAAACAGCTCTGATGGATGTAAGTGATGGGGGTGTGGATCTGTTGCCTGGAGAAAACTTCTCGACCTTGAGTTTTATTTTATTATTTTATTTGAACACATAAATATTGGTACAGGGGGGCACCAAATATATATGCGCCACACAAAACAATGATAATTTGAAGAGAAGGAGAAAAGAGAAAAAAAAGTATTGAACGTGGGGAATTATAAAAAAAAAGGAGAGAGACAGAACAATGGTGGGGGAAACGGAAAGGTACAATCAGAAGAGATCTTTCAGTTAAGGAAGATACAACCACTTTTTATGAAGAAAGTACAAGAAGGTTACAGCAGGATCGCCATTGGCTTCCATTCTGAGCCATATCTGATAACGTCTCTAGCCACTGCGTTACACCGTCTCTCGGACCCCAACCAGGGAGTCTTGAAGGACCAACAGAAGCTAACCCTTTGCACCTTTCTTTCATACCACGACACCATGTCATATACTGACCACCTCTCCGCTTTTTCCAACCAGTCCCAGAGTCGGCAAATAATGCACGACGTGGAATTCTCTGGGACGACATTCGTAGAACATGTCCAAGCCACCGAAGTCGGTGTTTCAAGATGGTGACACCGATTTTATTATCGTCTCTGTGACCGAACACTCGATGCCGAACCTCTGCATTACTGACATGGTGTTGCCACAGGATGCCAGCAATCCTTCGTAGACAGCGATGATCAAACACAGAGAGTCGTCTAACATCCTCAACTCGGAGAGGCCAGGTTTCACAAGCATAGAGCAAAACTGCTCTCACCGTCGCGTTGTAGATCCGACCTTTTACAGCCAGACTAACATCACGAAGGCACCAAAAATGGCCCAGATTGGCATAAGCCTCTCTGGCTTTCACTATGCGTGCTTTGATCTCATCACTCACACCACCACCAGCACTTATGCAGCTACCTAGATACACGAACTTCTCGACTACTTCAATCTGCTCACCATCCAGAGTGAGTACAGGATTAGAATCCTGTTAATAAACTTCTCAGGCACACCCTTCTTCAATAGACAATCCCAGAGAACAGTTCTGTCCAACGAATCGAAGGCAGCCCTGATATCAAGAAACACTACGATTGTTGGCCTTTGATAAGTATGGCGGTGTTCTAACACTTGGCGGAGGGTGAAGATATGATCAATACATCATCGACCGGAACGAAACCCAGCCTGCTCCTCGCGAGTCAATCCTTCTCGGGTTTTGAACAACCTACGAAGTATAACGGAAGCCAATAGCTTGGACGCAATCGGAAGTAGACTTATCCCCCGATAGTTGTTACAGGAACGGCGTGAACCATTTTTAAGATAGGGACAACTATGGACTTATTCCATGACGTTGGTACACACTCTAGTTCCCAGACCTTCGTCAGTCCCTTAATCAGAAAGTCATCACCATCTTTAAAAAGAGCCGGGGGTAAGTCGTCTGGGCCCGGTGATTTGTAACGTTTCAAGAGTTGGATTTCCTTGCGGACTTCCGCCTCATTTGGTGGATCAGTCTTCACCGGCCATGGAGGGCAGGAAAGTCTGACCGATGTTGCTGGAGCAGCAGGCTAGTTGAACTGAACTGCCCTTCGAAAAATTCTGCCCATCGTCCAAGACGTCGATGGATGTTAGTGATTGGCGTTCCGTCATCCTCGCAGATTGTTTCGCTCACACCAGACTTCTTGCTGCCAGTGGCTCGGATGAGTTGGAAGAGCTTCCGCTAATTGCCAGATGCAGCTGCTGCATCCAGCTCGTTAGAACGCTCCAACCCCCAGGCTTCTCGGTCCTCACGCAACGTTTGCCCGATTTCATTACGTAACATCCTTCGTCTGTGGTCAAACTCACGGTCTCCCGGAGTAGACCGACGGGCTTCAATCAGTTGTAAGGAACCAGAAGAAACCCAATGCTTATAAGCGGGACGTTTCACAAACCCACAACAGACTGTACCCGTCATTTTCATGGTGTCATGCAATTGCAACCAATGCTCATTTATACTTTTCGGTGGAATGGTAGCTAGCCTAGAAACTAGCTCGGTTCGGTACTTACTAGCAACAGAAGTTGCAGCCAGCTTGCTAACATCAATCATTTGGTAGCGGTTACTTCGTTGGCCACTGAAAAGTAAGGTAAGATTGGCGCAGACCAGGGCATGATCAGATTCCAGATAGGTACTCCAAAAGGAGCGGCAGTCTTGTACACAACCGCGCCAGCGGTAGCTGATCGCGATGTGATCAATCTGAGTCCAGGCTTGAGATGCAGAAGGGGGACGCCAGGTGGCACATCGGCGATGACTATGCTGAAAGTTGGTGCTAGCCAGAAACAGGTTGTGGTCTGTGCATAGTTGCAGTAGGCGTTCTCCGTTATCTGTCCTGCGACCAACAAGTCCCCATCGGCCACCTAGACGACTCTCTTCTGTGCCTAGACGCCCGACCTGAGCATTCAAGTCTCCAGCTAGTACTACAATATCTGTCGAACGCACTTTCTGGAGAAGAACAGTTAGCTGATGGTAGAACTCGTCCTTGATTGCATCCGGGCTGCAATCTGTCGGGGCATAGGCGGAGATGACGAAAAGACATCGTTTCTCACGCCGATTTCTTCTCACTTTGATGGAACTTTCTAATCTAACAGCACATAACCGACTGTTAATGAAGATCCAATCGATTAGTGCTGCCTCAGCTCTAGCGCTTAGTGCGACACCAACGCCAGCAAGACCAGACGAAGATGCCACAGGGTCCCCGGATAAACGCACATAAAACAAGCTTTTGAAGTGACAGATGGAGAGCGAACTTGTAGTACTTCACCAGAGTCTTGAATACGGGTCTCGGATAAACAACAAACGTCGATATTAAGACTTTCCAAAGACATAGCCAGACCTATCTGTTGTCCGACCTGCATAAGTGTGCGAACGTTGAAGGCAGTCAGTTTGAATGGTGCATGTGGTTTCAGAAAAACTGCTTCAGTACTAGTATTCGGTGGTAACATACAATTTTCAACCAGGCAGTGACACAAGCACGTTTAGACAGAGACGAATTTTCACCATAGGTGAGCTGCTGTAAGTTGAAAAATAAGGATACATAAAGTGGGATAAAAGAGAGTGAATAAATGACGTAGTAAATAATAATAATAATAATAATAATAATAATAATAATAATAATGTGAATTTTTTGACGGTAAATCGCGGCGTGAATAGAGTTTTCAGAGAACATCATCATTTTCATTATATTTGTGTGTGGGCTGTGATACTTCCCTGGTGCCCAGACCAAAGCAGGTGGTTTTCTTAGTGGGTCACACTCCGAGCCTTCGACCTAAAGGTCTGACCCACAAGGCAGTGGAGCATCGTGAGGAGATGCAGTCCCATGGAAGCCGGTGACCAAGAAATTGGTTCATACGCCGTTTGTTCCCGCAGGATACTGGAGCCCATGTGCACCATAGAATTGGGATCCGGTTATAGCGCTGGACGTTCGCTTTTCGTCCTCTCATTTTCGTAAACAACACCCCCGCCACGAGAAGGCAGTGAGTAGGACTTCCCTGGCAGAGGCTGTATACGCGTGGCCGTGTGAGAGTATTTCAAGAGGGAGGGCTAACCCTCCCCGCTCTCGGCCATACCAGGGCATTTGGGGGCGGATGATATTGTCTTACTGTGCGAGAATGCCCAAGCTATGCAATCCGCACTTAATCAGTTGGCAATCAGTGTCCGTAGGTATGGTATGTGCTTTGCACCTTCGAAGTGCAAAGTTCTTCTACAAGACTGGCAGGATTCTAATCCTGTACTCACTCTGGATGGTGAGCAGATTGAAGTAGTCGAGAAGTTCGTGTATCTAGGTAGCTGCATAAGTGCTGGTGGTGGTGTGAGTGATGAGATCAATGCACGCATAGTGAAAGCCAGAGAAGCTTATGCCAATCTGGGCCATCTTTGGTGCCTTCGTGATGTTAGTCTGGCTGTAAAAGGTCGGATCTACAACGCGACGGTGTATAACATGGAGGTATTGAAAATACTACACCGTTTAAATAAACATTGCTTGTTAATGACAAAGAATGACTTTATGTCGATCATAATTACTTTATGTTAAAAAATCGGTCATATAAGGGGAATTTAGAAAAACCAAGGATAAAGATTATTTGTCTAAAACAAAACATGGGTTTATTTCTACGTTTTGTCGTTACATTTCTGTTGAAATCTCTTTCAGTTCAGTTTTTACAGATTTGTCTGTTATCTTTCTCAGTGTTTTCAAAACTTACAGCTTATTTTAATTGTTTACTAACCGTATTGTAATTCGAACTTTCTGAATATATAAATATATATTGGTTATCGACTTATCAGTTATGCTGTTACTTTTCATTTCTTATTCACTAGGTTGATATTGTGTTACCTAAAGAAATGTGTCTTAAAGAAGCTCATGATATTGGTGAAGGGTTACAAAAGAAATTGGAAAAATTAGAAACAGTTGAACGAGCTTTTGTACATTTAGATTATGAATTTTCGCATCGTCCAGAAACTGAGCATAAAATAGTTTAAAGAAGAAGAAAGAAATTTCATTGTATTCTTTTTTTTCAAGTCAGTTTAAAATGTACACATGCACAACTACTTATTACATGTTCCTATATAAAACATAAGAAATTGACAATTAATTATACTTTTTAATATTAATATTTATGACCATGAATACACCATGTATCTAGATTAGTTTACTGGATTTCTTTCATTATTAATTTCCTTTCAGAGATTTTCATGCTCTGTTTCTATGTTTAGTTATTTCATCCATTTTATATTTGACCAATACATATATTTTCTGTGCAGATTTACAAGCTTACAATCAATACTAACATTCTGTATTATTTTATAATAGACAAATAAAACTAATAGTAATTTTCCTAATTAATTTATAAAATACAATGAAAACTGATATTTCTTAACAACAAAGACAATCTATACCAATATAAACCATTGGCTCCAAATTAACTATTATTATTATTATTGATAATGAAACCATTAAATTCATATTCTTGTTTATCCATTGTTTTACTATATATATATGATGGATAAGCTCGTTCATCAGAGTTTATATTTATTAAAATTCTCACTAGATTATGGGGGTTTTTGTTACAAAGAAAAGGAAAGTTATTAGGAAATAATTCAAATGTTAATATAAGATTGTGTGTTTGTTTTTTTGATTTCGTTATTTTGTTTACTTTCACTGTTTATCTGAATAGTCCATATTATCATAAACGTTATTATTATTTAAAATAAATACTATCGAGTTTTTCATTAGTTTTTTTTCTTTCATTCATATAACTTGGTACAATAATAATTTTGATTATCATTTAGTTATTTTTTAATTAGTTTAGAAGGTGTACATATTTATTATGATTGTTGACTAACTTTTTTTCTCAACTGATTGATTTGTGTTATTTTCTTGAATTCACTAAGAATAATCTTTCTCCCATTTCAGTTCTTTAATGATATTTATTTTCATGTTGAGACATTTACTCTTCTAAATCTGTAATTAAAATATCAGAAGGTCAAAGAAATGATTATCTGTGATGTTTTATGTTTTTATTTACAATTTATGTGCTTTTACAAGTAAAATACAAAACGACAATATAACATAATTGATAAATCTCAACTAATATACAACGAAAACATTTTTGCTATAATACTGAACAATCCATTGATACGTAGCTGATTGTTATTCTTTAATGGGAAAATCTATAATCATACCGAATCAAAAGAAAACTTATCACTAGGTCTGCGTAAAATTACCTAGAGACAACTGTTTCGTGGATACTTCTTGAGAACAAACAAATTGATTCACTTAAAAGTTTAGTGACCATAAATCTGACTCCAGTTAGATCGTTTCTTGATTACTATTAAAATATGCAACCTGGCTACCTTGGTATATAATAAACTTAACTCGTGCTAGTGAATAACAGAATTAAAATAAGTCAAACATGATAATGGATTTTGAATACGTATACATTATGCAATCGCTAATCTGAATGGACCATCAGGGAAATGCAATGAAGGAGGCGAAGTGAAATGAAACGATGCGCATTGCAGTTGTCTCACTTGCATTCTCCACTGCGTGTCATTTCGTTTCGCGTGACTCTCTCCTCTCCACTTCGTTTCACTGATTGTCTGTCCTGACCAATGTGTAAGAAATATACTCATCCTGACTTGATTCTCGTACTTGACTTATTCCGTTATTTACTGACGCGATTCAAGTTTGTGAAATTATACGAGGCTTGGTGGCATGTATATCTTGATAAAAATCATTTATATGATCTAAATAAGGTCAGATATAGGGCGACGAAAAGAGTGGCTATCCTGACTTAACACTTTTTCTGTATAACCTGTGGTTATGAAGTTTCGTAAATAAATTTTTTAACAAGTGGAGAATCTTTATATTGTTTTGTTTCTGATCAAATCCCACATGATATCAGGTTCTAAGTAATCTCTATGCAAAAAGTTAAAGCGATAGTGCAATACAAATAAACCCGAAACGTTAGAAATTATTATAATTTTATGTAGTTTCTATTTAGATAAATTACTCCACTAAATATAAACATCAATATTTTAACTCCTGCTCCAACGAAACATTCTGGAGGTGAGAGAGAGTTATGTATTGACTTCTCTTCTCTAACCAGTTTGATTGTGAAGAGTTTGTTGTTCTTCTGAATAACAAATGTAGATAATGTTCAAGAAAATAATGAATACTTCACTATTAAATTGCTTAGCTCAGGTAACGCGACACTTAAAGTATTTACCTGATCTACAAATGTTCTTTATTATTTTGAGTGACATAATAATGTCAGTCAGTCAGTAACAACGTAGAACTTTGTACGTACGTACATCAGTTTGAGTTGCCATACCACATTAGCACAAAGATGTAGTTGTCGATTCAAATCCCGTAGCGGTAGAGGTAGTAAGGGTATAAACAGTAATCCGAAAGAGTAGGGTTTGAAGATGTTATTCAAGGAGTATAATCCAGTGAAATAAATTTGAAAAGAGAAAAAAGAGAGGGACATGAATTTAGAGGATTAGAATTTGGGAGAACACAAAGAGTGGATGCACCTGTTCCATCGCAAACGATTTTGAGCCATGTCATTCAGGGTCTCCAACCATCGGTTGCTATCGTCTCGCGGTCCCCAACCAGATAGTCTGCACCAACCGACATGAATCAGTTCACTTGTCAGTGACTTTGATCTGACCGCCCCTAGCTTTCTTCCAACCTACTCCTACACCATAAAACATCGTTCATCGGGGCATTCGATGGTTGGGCTTACATAACATGTTCCAGCCATCTCAACTGATGAAGTTTCACTACTTCGTCATCCTTACCTAGTACCCGTTTTCTAACAATTGCGTTACTTAGTCGTTGGTCCCAAGATATACGAGCAATGTTTCGAAAACATCTATGATCGAATACTAGTTACCTTCAAATATCCTCTATTCTTACCGGTCATTTTTCACTGCCATAAAGTAGGACGGAATGAACTGCTGCGCAGTAAACACGTCCTTCGGCTGATAGACGGATATCTCGCCTACACCATAAATGACACAAGTTGGCAAAAGCTAGTCGAGCCTTCTGTATCCGTGCTGAGATTTCGTCACACACCAAACCACAAGGCTGGTGAGAATTCCCAGATAAGTAAAGCGGTCGGCACGCTCAACTACTTCACTCCCTATCACTAGTTCGGGTGGCGTTGCAACCCAATCCTGAAGTAACATTTCGCATTTCGAGGGAGAAATTCGCATGCCGAACATGCGTGCATTGTTGCTTAGAGTGGTCAGCTGACTCTGCATTTTGTCATCGGCATATTCTAAGTCAACAAGCGAATCTCCCGGTAGAAGTTCAACTCCTTAAAATCTAGATGAGGAATGTGTCATCTCCAAAAGCACATCAACGACAAAGTTAAACAAGAATGGAGAAAGTGGACAGTCCTGACGAACACCATTTGAGGTAATCAGTTTTGATGACAGTTCTCCATAAGCTCTCACTCGGCCAGTTGTGTAAGAGTAGAGAACCTGTATAAGGTTAACGTACTTCTCAGTGACAAACACTGCCATAGGTCCTCACGATCAACAGAGTTAAATGCCGCCTCAAGGTCGAGAAATACTATGAATATGGGGCGTCTGAATGTGTGTCTATGCTCTAGGACCTGACGTAGTGTGAATATCTGGTCTATACAGCCACGTCCAGGTCGAAAACCAGCCTGATTTTGTCTAGTCTGCACCTCACGAGCTTTAGTTAGGCGTCGAAGCTTTTTCTCCAGTTTAATGCTTTATATATCTAGCTACAACACAAAGGTTTGTTTTACGTGCAAAAAAATTTATTATGATGACATAATTCAGTCAGTCAGATATACCCAGCGTAGAACCTGGTAAATATGTACATCGGTCCAATTTGTCATATCCAATTAATACAGCTAGATGAAATTGTCAGGGCTAATCCCAAATTAGCAGAGGTAGTACGAGTATTATTAATAATAGGAAAGATTAGGTATTTGAGATACCATTCCCAAGGAAATATAAATTAGCGAAGCAATGAAAACCTGACAATCAACTAAAAACATTTTAACGTTATAAAAAATAGACTATAATTTCTGCAGAAAAAAACGACATAGTTGCATGTTTAGGTAGTTGTAGTGACGGAAGAAATGGGTGAATGAAACATTGAAATGATTGACTTAACTCACTTGTTATTTTATTCACAAAACCAATCTGTTAAATACTAACCAAATACATCACAACAATAAAAATATTTGTTTGACTGGCTGGATAAATTTTTAAGTGTTGAAGCTATCGGTTAGAACTAAAGGTTACAAAACTACCAACGATCTTTCAGTTGTGTGCTATATTTAAATATGAAAATATTGGTTCAGCGAGGAGTTCTCTTTTCGGCGAATTCATTTTCAAAGGTGTACAATCGCAAATATATATACTTATTTTTTAGGATGATAATAAACTGTTAAATGTCGTAACAGTAAGGTAGAATAAACAAAGGTATCGAAAAATGTTAATCAGGGAAGCTAATAATAGTTTTATTGTTAAGGGCCTGAATATTCATCATAAAGATAGACAGGGAAATTATTATTGGGAAAGGATGGCTCAGCATGATAAGATAAAATGTTGAAATCGAGATGAAATGTAATCAGGAGGATCATAGAAGCTTAATAATCGAATACTTTGTGAATGCAGGTCACTCAATCCAGATAGACTCTACATTCAAAGTCATGTACAAGGCAAGTAGAAGGCTGCCAAAAGCAGTTATATTACACCTTCTTAACATTGCCGTAGCAATACCATACATCTAGTAAAACCAGAATTGTATCCAAAAGGGATTGATACAATATCTTATTCTACCATGGTCTTAATGTCTCATAGTTTTGTTTCTTCACACTTTTCTTCCTCTACAGCCATCTGCTTCCCTTTTCATCTTTGCCTGAAACCTTCTATCCCAAACTGCTTTATTTCTATTTCTCTTGATGTGCTTTAAGCCATGAATTAATAAGGGTATTGTTTCATCTATATTCCCATGGCACACATACAAACAATTTGCTACTTTTTCTTGAGTATTCATTTTAATTTTGACTATATCACCTTCTGTCCTTATAAGTTATTAGAATGGTCATTTAATTATCTTACCTATTATCAATTAAGATCATATCATAAGAGCTTAGATTTTTATTTTACCTTAATTATAGGAAGAGAACCAACTATGTGATTTATCAATGTGATTTTAAGTTTTACCATAAATAAAGCTTATCACATTAAATCACTTTATTCGTGACATCATTGTCTATTAGCTCTCAAAACAATGTATTGACATTATGAGTATAGAAGTTTTATTTTACAAAAACCACTGTGCGTGTGTGTATTTTTTTCAAGTTTTCAGATAAATCTTAGCAAAAAAAATAACCAAATAACACATTATAGATTCATATCGATTGCCCTAATGAAGTCAGCAATGAAATTTACAAACTTATAACTTAATATTATCACTGTCAATTCATATTAGAGACTAGATCCATTACAAACTTATAATAAACATAAATAATTAATCATAAAGGGTATAGTATATAGAAAATATAAACTAATTTAACATTCCATCACAATAATTTTCTTCATTCTTTCTAAGCAAAAAGAAAAATAATTTATTTACTATTCTATCTCTTTTAATATAAAAACATTTATTATTAGATGTAAACAATTTCATTTAGTTATTTATATATTTTATTATTATATGTATGTCTGTTTATTTACTGAAATAATTTTTCCATTGAATAAAATAAATATTGATCAAAATATCATCTCAATTTGATCCTGTATCAAATAAAAAATTTAAATGAAATGAATGGATAATACATTGTGTTTTATTTCAATGTAAAATGAATTATTTTTACCAATTACTTATCGAATATCTTATAGATACAAACGTTTTTTTTTCATTTTGTTATCATCACTACTCCTTAAAACAAAAAAAACCTACTATCGTTTATTTAGTTATAATTGTTTCTAGTTCTCACTACTGATTTGATCA